GTAGATCAAAGAAGAATTTACGTCCATCTTTTACTTAATCGAGTTGCTATTAAATTTAGTTAGGAAAAAACTGTATAAACAAAAAAGTATTCTAACTAATATATATAATATAAAAGGACTTGCAAACTTGTAATTAAAGCTAGTTCGTTTTACCAACTTTCAGTTAAACACATTTCTAAGCTATTACTCCTAATAAACAAGCATTGATAGAATAAAAAATTGTGTATATTTTGCAACAAAATCTATTTTGTTCTGAAGATAAGTGTGGGAACTTTCTGGCAGAATTCACATATCTCTTTTAAAATTCTGCAAACAACCCACAATTGCTGCCTATCATTCCATTGGATCTGCACTCAATTCCCCGGCAAAATAGTTTCTCTCGCGACCTGAGACATTTTTACAAGTCTATCAAACGGCAGTGTGAACTTTATGATTCATCCATTCAGACATCCAGCCACCGATGATTTTCCCAGTCACGTTCTGTTATCACGGCCTGCATTGTGGGGTTTATGTTGCTAGCCGAGTTTCTCTGCTTGGCATTGCATCGTAAAATCTCGCCTTTCTGACAAAAGATCTCTATAAAATCGAAACAACTTCAATTTTTGGCAGCAACAAAATTTGTATTTTTATTGTCCCGCAGCAGCTTATTAAAGGCAGTCCATTCAACGGAGGCAGCAAAAAGTATAAAAAAAAAAACAACTGCCTCACTCACTTTCATTTATATTACAACGAAATGCGACACTAAATGTTGCCTGCCCTCAATGTTGTTGTTTGTGTTTTTGTTGCTAGTGCTGTTTTGTTGTTTTGTTGTCTTGCTTATTGTTATTGTTATTGCCGGCTGATTGTTGCTGGGCAAAGCAGCCGCGGGCGTCGGCTTGTCACACGCTGCGTATGAGTGACGCGCCTTTATTTTCGGTTATTGTTTTAGCCGCGTAAAGCGGCCGAAAAGCGGCCAAGAAAAAAGAAAGTGTGCTAGGCATGCCTTATGGAGCATATTTCGCCCAGTGATTCACTTGCTTCGTCAATTTGCATAGTTCCGCGGACTCCGGATTGCATTGCGGCGCTCCATTCACGATGATGGAGATGATGATATTTGGGACCTCGGATGATAAACCGCATACCATTTGCTTGGCTCATACGCGATCCACTTTTTCGCCTTCATTCATTCATACGATTCGCGTCATCGTTTTCGTGAGTGAAAGTTATGTAACGTTCGCGTGAATTTTGCAATCTGCAGTGCGCAGTGCTAAACCGGATGGTTGGACGGATAAATGTCTGGGGACCTCCAACGCGCAGCCAATAACGTGTCGGGTTTTATTACCCGCCTAACTGTCAAATCAAACAAAATTTCTAAATGCCAATCAATAAACAATTTCTCTTTTCTTGGTTGCGGTTTTTCGGTTTCTGGCTGCGAGAACTGTCAAAGTTGCACTGAAGAAAATAATGAATAAATTACATAAAAAAGGAAAGAATTACACATAATTACACTTAGGCATTAATCGTTTGTAACATAAATAGCTCTGTGAATAGTGGGCTTAGCACTTGATAAAATAAATAAATAAAATGAGATAATAAGTAAGTAAAAACTTTTAAAGAATATATTTTTGCAATATTTAAATCCTTTATCCAAAATAATTTACATATATGGAAAATGTATTTGTATTTATTTATTTGATTTTTTTCAGTGTGGTATTATTTTCTATTATAACCTTTCCCAAGATTTTTCTCCCCCGCTGCCCCCTATTTAATGCGTTTCTGACAGCTGCCTGGTGGGCATTTATTATTTACACAAAGTCAATTAGCTCCGATTCATTTGTGCGCTTTTCGGTTTGCGATTTGTTGCTGGCCGTCGCTCAATTAGCCGGCAACAAGTTGCCATAAATCGATAGCTCACTTTCCTCCTACTCTGGTCATGTGGGTGTGGCAGGTTGGCCGGATGGTCGAGCTCTCTTTCGGTTCCATGTGCGTTTGCTTTTTGAATTAGCCTGCTCAATTCGCAGTCGAATTTCGAGGCTTTGCGGGCTCTGTTTTTGTATTTTTGGATAGCATGCGTTCTACTGACCCATTTGTGTGGGTTTTCATCGAATATCAGCCATCGGAATGCCAACGGCATTACTGAAATTCCAACACAGTGGGGAAGACATAAATAATCCAAGAAGCGGGTAACATGTTCACAGAACTCTTCTGGGGTGAGGAAAAGAAATTTATTTCGTTTGAGTCAAATGCCAAAAGTGCAAATAGTTGGAATTGTCAGCCGTTCCTTGGCTTAAATCTACAGCCTTGAACGAGAGCATTGTTCCCAAATTCTTTAAAAAATCTCAAAGCATTCTTACAGTAAACTGCTTTTCAGTAAAGCAGATTAAATTTAAGTTTAAAGTTGTTATGTTAAGGATAACATTTTTTTACCGAATTAAAATAACACTACCCCATATTGAATGAAAAATATCTGTGAGAGGTAATTTTATTCTTCTGACCGAAAATCCATCCCGAATTCGAGGAGATGCGTAACAAAAATAATTCACCCCCATTTGCGAACACAAAAATACCACAGCCACAGCCAATTTGTATCTTTTAAAGCTCTTTTGGGTTAAACGCAGAAATACCAGCAGGTGAAATTGATTTTCTTTTCATTTGTGCAAATATGAAATGTCAATATTGTGCGTGGTCGTCTCCGTCATTGTCGCTCGACTGAGAAAGTGCAGCGCCAACTCGAAGCGTTTTCCATGCATTGAGCGGATATACAAAACGAACTTTTTTTGGCTCGGAGGTGTTTTGGGTCGGTGCTAGTTATTTGCATTTAAAAAATTCATAGAAATTGACTCGAGGGCATACTCCGGTTCAAAGCCAAAACAAATTCAATTCACTTTGCCCGAGAGCTGGTGCAAGTGCTGGCTTGGGATGAATATCTATTATTTATACCCTTGGAGAGGGTGATAAAGTATTTTGCCAAATGTTAGGTACCTTAAAGGTCTGGAAATTTTATTCCCCTAGTTAAGTAAGATATTCATCATAAAAATTTTTGGTTGTTTTTAAGTAGTTTTTAAATATAAATATAAAATATATTACTGTCAGAATTTCGCTAAATATATATTTATATCTAGGCATCTTTCATTCAACTCTTCTTAAGATAAGAACAATCAAGCCTAATTGCCCTTAAGATAAATTTGCATTTGAGCAAAATAAATGCTGATTATTTCATCCTGAAAAGGTATTTTAAATGGCATTTCCCAAGACTCAACATGATTTCCTGCTTTCCTTCCTTTGAGCCAGGTGAAACAATATGATTAAGGGCGCCTGAGGGATCACTCTTAGCCTGGCCTAAGCATCATCGCTTTATTTAACCCCATCTGCCCGGGACCGAAAGAAAGTGAAATTGATGACACAAATGCGCAGACAACAAATACAAAGCGGTGTCTATGCTAAATGGCCTGGTTAAGTAATCTCGTGAGAGCCGCAAACATTGCGCAGTCAGCGGAGCTGAGAATGTTGTTAATAGCCAAAGCCAGAGATGCGATGACAAAGGCCGCCTCGGTGGGTTTCCCTTCGCCTGTCCCTTTCCCCACTTTAATTGCCCGGCTCGGGGCTCAACTTCACTTTCAACGTCTCACTTAGAAAGAAAGATACGCCCTGTTGTTGATCGATCTGTTAGATACGCGACAGGCATGCGCATACCTAAGTCTTGGGTGTTCGGTGTTGGGTCTTGGGTCTTGAGTCTCGGATCTTGTATTTTGTATCTTGGGGCTGCAGATGTATCTGTAGCTGCCGCCCCGCCCTGCCACACTTGCAATTGTCTCTTTACTTTTGGCGCCCCACAACTTTCACTTGGGGCGCGGAAATGGAGGCGCGATTTGCGTAGGCTGCTAACATCAATTCAGCGAACCATGGTGCACTTGCCTATAATATTCGAGGCCTTCTTTTGGCAAGATATTTTAGCGTAGTAAACAAAAATGACTTGTTTATAAAAATATTTTACAAAACAATGATTAATTTGAATCCTACAAAAACTTAGACCGTGTTAAATAGGGAGTAAGAAATGTACCAATTCACTTGATTTTTTGTTATAAGAGCTTAGATCATTTTAAGAGTCTAAAATATAAATATGTGTTATTTATATATTCAAATATCCTTTTTATAAAATGTGGTTAAAATCGTTCATTAACACTTTCTAAAAATAACACATGACAAGAAAAATAAGACTTTTTAAATTAATTTATTTCTTTCAAATAGGAACGTTTACTTTGTATATTTTAAAATCACCTTGTTGTTCTTTATTAGTATTATTCAAAAAGGTTATTTATTAGGCTGATTTATTGTATTTTAAAATTATTGACAACAATATTGTATAACAATTTATTGTAGTATTTATAATATGCCATTCTTTTGGATCTGATCTGCAGCAGCGTCAATTAATCACTTCGAACCACCCAAGATGTTGACCGCATGTCTGCGCTGCAGCGTGCTGATTGATTGGTGACAACCTGTTCGTTGACTTTGGCTTTCGGTCGTGCTCTTTACATAAGCCAGGCGGTCGTTTGTCGGCGTCTGTTGCAACAGGTACTTGCGGAAGTGCCGCTTCCAATGTCTTGGCTCCGGCCTGTGGTCACTGGTCGATTGCTTGGGATTTTTGATGGGGATTTGAGGGCTGGCCGACGGTGCGCATGCGCAATAAACCGTTTTATGCATAACGGAACCGCAGTGCTGTTAATTTTTGCGCCGCGTGCACACGGCCAAAATCGTCAACAGGTCGGCTACGTAACACCGTCAAAGTCGGCCGACTCATGTGCTAATTAATCGTTGATGAAGCTGGGAGTTACGAGACCTTATTTGTCTATTGGCTAACACAGTGCCGGAAAAGCTATATTTGTGAAGATGGTTAATGTGATATGATTTCATATTTACACTTGATTGTTAATTACATAAATTCACCTGAACGAACAGATCAACAGATATTAACTTTTAAAACGAATTGGTAAATTATACTTTTTAATGCAAATATGTTTTTGTGTTCAAATGTCTATCCCAAGCACTCTTTCTTACTCTATTTGTTGCTTTTCCTATAAAAAGGGTTTATACAAGTTGTCAAAATTTTGATCCTTGGATAGTCCCACGGGAATAAAGGACTGTCGAACTGGCATCCAACTGCTTCCACTGGACGTGATATCCACACCATGCAATCCTTTTATTGATGGAGCATGAGAGTGAACTATTTCCAGGCGATCGCGCACATTTCCTCCGGACAATATCCACCTCAGCGCCAATATTCCAGATATGGCCAATGCGATTTTACTCATAACGAACGAAGAGGTCGAAAGTGCTGTTAGCCACTTCAAGACCAAGGGCAACAGTACTAACTTAGCTAAAGCTGCGGCAGCCAGTAAGGGATAGACCATTTTCATTAGCTTTTTTTGCTTTTTGTGTCTTCCGCGTCCTGTGAAACAAAGAAAAGTTATATTATAATAAGTATAGAAATTAGGTCAAATCAGACTAACGTTTTATTGTTGCTGTAAAATTTTTAATTGGTATTACACTTTTTTTGTAGTTTTGATTTTAAGTCGACTCAGTAATAAATATTTTTTTCAGTCGGTTATAAGCTTTTGAAGCTATATGTATCACTTATACACCTTGGAACACATTATCTCAACTAATTTCAAAATGAAAGTGTGATCAGTTACTTTCTGAGGTTTAAATAATTATTTGAGTCATTTTGAATAAAAATGTTGGCAGACAGATTCAAATACATTCCCTGACAAATATCGACCAATAAATTCGTACAAACCCACCTTCGGCTGCCCAGCTCTCCAGCATATTGTTCACCTCCTCCGGGCTCAGATCGTCGTTGATCAGGCTTTGGAATTGGGTCTCGGCCAAGGCCAGCCACTCCCGTTCCACTTGTTGCCGCTCCTCGTGGGCGGCTTCCTGCTCGGCGTCTTGCTCCACGGCAGCCACGATTGCACCACCCATCTGCACCACCGGCGGAAGGCTGTAGGTTGCACCGAAGGACACCAGCCAGACAAGGTGGCAAATAGTAATTGGGATCGAACTCTTGAGCATGTTTATTCCGTTGCACTGTTCTCAGACGACTGAGCAAAAGTGGGCGAATATCGCAGACTGCTGGTAATGGGGCACTTTCATCGTTGCACTCCGCTGCACTCCAATTCAATTGGGTATCTGTGTATTCTTGGCCAATTGATGGCCACTCTGTACCGCTATCGCTTCTTTTTTACACAGAAACTAAAGTTCTAAGTTCTTATTTTATTAGGTAATAAAAAAAGTGTTTTAAATTTTCTTACATAGAAAAACATATAGTATACTAGCAGACCCGGCCACGCGTTGCTGTAGCTAAAGTTATTGTTATATTACATTGAAGTATACAATTTAAGAAGAACGGTAGGTAAGGTAGATAGTCTTAAGTCTCTAATATTTATTATTTTAAACTATAAATATTTTCAATTTAAATTTAATTTAGCACTAATCGGTGTACAATATTTCTGGTTAACCTGTCTTTAGCTAACACAAATAGATTTGACGGTTTTCCAACACGTGAACATGCAACATATAGTTGCCCATGAGAAAAGCACGGACGGATTAGATTTTTTCAGCGGAATTTTAATTTATTATTATAATTATGTGACAATACCTACATGTATATTTTTTATATCTATAGAATTTTGAATAATGAAGCACAGATAACTAAAAAGCAGGAATGATTTCACTGTATTATCGTCCCTATAATTTGAATTTGATTTACACTTCGGTCTACGTACGTGGTTGGCTATGCTAACACCAAAAATTAAAAAAGTAGAAATAATTGAATTTCACTCTATTTCGTTTACTACAAAATAAATTTAATTTATACCTTAACCTCTATAACACGTGGTAATCAGGCTATTGTCGGTTTACCATAGCAGCAGGGTTGCCAACTCTACGTCTTTTTACGTAGATCTACGTACTTCAAGCCTTTCTTGCAAACCTACGAACTTCAGTCCCAGAATCTACGTATTTTCTATCAAAATTGTTCATAGCAGTGCCATCTATTGTTTACTTACTCAATCTAATCGAAAAGTATCGACATCTATTAGATTCTTTTGGAGTTACCAGATAATTGTGACTTTCAATTAATTATAAACAAATAATTAGCAATAAAATAAAATTGCGACTTTAATTAAAGATCTAAGCTATCCTATCTCTCAAGTTGGACCAGACTGCTCATGGTATGCCAATTTAATTTAACATCGGTTAAGTAGTTTAGGAGTCTATCGCGGACAAACATCGTGACAGGAGATTTATATATATAAGATAAATGGATTAATCAGGGGTGATTTTATTCTGAAGATTAATCCCCATAACAAACATGTTTTAAAATGTCCTCGATTAATAATTGTCTTGTATGTTGTGTCCTTGTGTAAATGACGACACTAAGTCCTTGTAAAAATATATGTACTTTTAAATAAATGCTTTGGAGTGTGGATATTATAATTTTCAAGGTACCATTCAAAGCAGGAAAAGTTCTTCGCTGAATAATTCACTCTTGATTTATGATTCTGCTTTTCCCAAGTGTTCTACCTTGTTTTCGCTGATTTTGTTTTGTTCCGCCGATTCAGTTTTACTTGAGCGTGAACGGACACATTAAATTTTCCCTGCCTTAATGAACGGCTCACCGCAGACGTTTCACTGTAACTGTGGCTCTGTTTGTGGTTGTTACTGGGTTGTGCGCACCACTCTTCTCGGGGGTCAATTGCTCCGACCATCAACAAGTAAAAACTCTTCATTATCGTTTCGAGGCATTTTACTTGGTCCGTTTCGGTTCACTTGCCCTTTTTGTTTAGCTGCCACGTTTTTCCATTTCTTAGCTGTGCTTGCAAGGAAAAGCTTTTCGGGAATATGCTCCACGTCACTCACAGAGGTTTCACCCTATTTGAAATTTCTATTACCCTTAGAAACAAGTGGTAAAGCGTTTATCTTTGTTTAGTTTTAAATGGCTGAAAAAATAGATTGTTTTGTTCTCAGGTATAGAAATAAATACGATTTTATTAGTTAAAGTTTTTTTCAACAACTGTTTCCTGACTTTCACAGAAGCAAAGTTTTATAAAAATACACCACCAAAATAAGTCCAAACATTTTAAGAAAGATTTTTAACTCAATAACAGTAAAATTATAATTGGCCTGGTTTTTAGTAATATTTTGGTAGGCCTTTAATTAAGACATCAACGTTTGCTTTATTAATTGGACATCAACTTCCAATTAAATATGCACCAACTGCTGTCACTGATTTTAATTAAATATGAATGTCCAGGGAAAAACGAATGTAAATGTTGTTAAAAACACATTAATAAAATTTCCGTCAATATGAATGACCCTGCAAACATTTTGAGTTCAATGTAAAGGCTTTTCGTAAACTCGGCTAACTTTATGTTAATTTTCGCTATGCCCCGTGGCTGATGGCCTGAAACGTATACAGAAATAGGATTAATTAAATTTCACCAATATTAAGGTGCCAAACGATGTCGGCTTCTACAATTACACAAGTCTGCTTGATGGGAGTATATTCGCCGGGAAATTAAATAACGTCCAAACTGAATTAGGTGTGGCCCAGACGAGACAAATGGACTTATCTTGTTGGACCGCACATATGTAACTTTGGCTTTATGTGCGTGCTATATATTCACAGGGCGTTCAAACACATTCAAATGCACACGCGTGCCTCGGAACTAATCGCAGTCAGCAGTCGACATTCGTTAACGCTTTGCTGTCGTCACTTTTCATGCCCAAAACCCCGACTTTACCAACTGCAGAGTGACTGCGGAATTTATCGGTGCCCGGGTGCCAGCCGTACTTTTATTTGGCATCCGGTTGCTGCTGAAACTATAGGCTGCCCTTCAAAGGTATTTTCGGGGATATCGGACGTGTTTGTGTTAATTAAAAATTCCTTTTGCAACAGTGCTTACATAGAACTTTATTAAATTATTTCTCTTAATGTCTTGGAATTTTTTATATACCCTTGGAACATATTTGCTTACAACGAGAGGCCCAGTTTTTAGAAAAAGTGAGAATAATTCTATGAATATTACAATAACTACTAAAAGCCAGAACCGCAAACAAATTCCATAATGTATGGTCAGAATTTAGTTTTCTCAAACCAAAATGTACGTTAAAAATCAGGATATATAAAAAAAATACTACAATGGGATTTAATAGCGACATTTGAAGTACCAATTTAAATGTATAACAATTTTAAATATTAATTTTATGTAATATAAAAATTGTCAACATTCTTTAATTCAAATTTTAAGATCTCAAATTTTAAGATAAAAAATTGTACTTATTTTGACTGAATAATAAATATGTTGTGGTTACCTTTACAGCGTAATACTAACTTAACTTAAGATATGTAACTGAATCAGGGTATCTAAAATTCGGTTGGGCAAATGAGCAACATTTTCTTATCGTTTTTGGACGACTTTGCTGTTATGTACATACTTCATTTCACTCAAGGGCTCGTCGTCGCAATCGCGGAAAATCGACGTCGCTTATTATAGCCAGCGACCAGACAAATCAATGCTGGCTGACTGCACAACCAGCTAACTGGCTACCCTGAATCTAAAAGCTAAATCTGAATGGGCTTAAATCCGCACTCATCAGAGTTTCTTCAAGACGAGCGACTTGCTGGCATGGCCACCCGCGGAGGTCTTTAGGCTCATTACGGCCGTAAAGAGAGCGAAGAAGAATCCGGCCAGACCGGTGGTGCCCACGAGCAGCGTGAGTCCGCCGATGAGCACCGGGATGAGGGTGAGGAACTTCAGCTTGTAGGCAATCAGCAGGGGGAGCAGCAACTTCTGGATCTTCTTCTTCAGCTTCTTAAGCTTGCGGCCCTCAGATTCCGTAACCAGACGTTGGGCGCGACCTTGAACCAGGAGGTCCTTTGATGTCGTTCCAGGTGGAGCTGTGGTTGCCGCCACCCCGCTCGTGGTGGCATCCAATTTATTTGAGCCTTCCCCATCTGCAAGTGAAGAGCAGAAACTCTAGTTAGCCGGGTAATTAAGTGGTCAGTCGCAGGTGCCTCGAGGTCATGGCAGCGATACGCTCACGACCACAGAAATTTATTGAAAAGTCTAGTTAAATACCTAATCAATACGGAATTAAAAATAAGGGCATAAGTAGGTTCGAGTAAATTCGTAAAAAACTTAATAAAAGGCTTACTGACCAAAAATTATTATACAAAAACATATTTCAAATCTGCTTATCACGGGTCTTCATTTTGATATATTAATTAATTGCATTGTACGAAATGCTTTACTTAATAAAATAAAGTATGGAATGCTTTGTGCTTTTTAATTTCAGTTTCAATAAAGTAGAAAACCAAAATGAATAAATTTCAATTTCAAAGGAAACATTTTGTTACGGAGAATTTGAAATGAAAAATCAAAATTCGTGGTAATCAAATTTTATGGGCAAACCAAATTCCTGATTATTACTAGCAATTTAGGGAACGTCTGCGAAATTACCCACCTGCCTCGTCGCTAATCACGCTCCTCAGGGCGTCGCAGAAGTTGCTCACTTTTACCAGGGCCCGTTCAAAGGGCGCCAAGTAGGACTCGATTCCCCGGAGCGACGCCTTTCCTCCGGCTCCACCTGCCTTGGGAAGGATTTCGTTGTCGCTTTCGTCATCATCGGCATCGTCATCATCGTAATCATCAGCATTAGTCGCATGGGTTATAGTCGCAGCCGCCTCGTGAACTTCCGGCTCGGCTTCCTCAGCATTTGGCAGCTGGCGTACGAGTTGGCCCCGTCGCATCTGCTGGCTGATGGCCAAAACGTAGCTGGCTGGATCGCTGGGAGGAGCCGGTTTGTAATTTCCGCCCGCCGATGGGAAGCTCTCGTTGTATCGATGGTTGTAGGCGTAGAAATTGACAGGAAGTCGTTCCGACTCCTTGCGCCTTTCCCGGATCTCCTCCCGAATCTCCTGCCGCTCCACCCGCCCCGGCTGCATTGAACTGGGCGCTGTTGCCTGGAGGATGAGCCAATTGTTGTGCTGGGTGAAGGGCTGCCATGCATTCATCTCCAGCTTCAGTTGCGGCTTTTGGCTGCCGGCGGAAGTGGCGCCATTAAACCGACTTGCGCTGCTCCTTGCGGCTTTCATTGTTACGAGCCCACAAATGCTGAGCACCAACACCTGTCGCTGCCACATTTTGATTCGATTTTCGCTTGTGGATCCTTGGGTTGGCTTTCCCACTTCACACACGCACTCCGCACGCCGTCAAGAATCGAACTGCGAGAAGCTAAGTGTTTCCAGATCTTAGTAGACCAAATTCTACGGCCCATTCGACAATTTATGGCGCTCTCTGGTTGAGCGATTTTACGGCCTTTCGCCGAAAAGTGCTGCGGCTTTTGCTTGCGGTCAAGCGCCCAGTTGATCCCCCAGATAGCTTTTCACATTCAAGACTTTTACCTACCACACACACAAAAAGAAACGGACAAGTTGATAAGTGTTTTTCACTTTATATTTATAAATAAATTTTTAATTATTAATTATTAATTTTTTAGTATTTTGTAAGCTTTATGAACATTTGGAGTACATTTCCTTTGCATATTGTAATTTCGATCGTATTAAATCAAATACCCTTTCACATGGATACTTATAAAAGCACTTATTTGATTCATATTTATTTTGTAATTTATTAGTAAAATGTGTATTCTGACCACTTACAATCACTTGAGTATAGGTACTTCATCCACTTCAGGTTTATTTAATTGTGTTAATTGAGTTATTTGCTTTGCTTTTAGTGAATGTTGTTTTTAAATGGCTATTTTGATTTAAAAAACTTTAGGGCACTTATTGCATTCCGCCTGCTTAACAGTATTTTACTGAAATACACTCGAGCTAAAAATGCTCTTATACACTTGTTGAATTTAATTACAGTTAAATTTTGTTGCTGTGTACTTATTCGGAAGGGTAATCCGTGAGGCGTAACCGGATTTGGTGGGGAGACCAACCACTGGCCACTTCCCAGTTCCCAGCTCCCACTTATGTAAATTTTCACGGAGCAAGAGCGGGGGTCTCATTGGCAGATCGAAGATAAACGCTCCAGGGATAAACGCTCCAGGGAGCACAACACGTGCTGCTAAGCCCATTGAGGCATGGCCATTTTAATTAGAAAACAATGCTTTGAAGTCTCGACTCGGAGTTTTCACTTTTCGCATTGGGTAGTGGGAAGACTTGATTGCCCTGTTGCACGTTCGAAATCACTGGTCCAACTGGCGGCCTTGCACTTGCTGCCACCATTCTATATAGGTTTTGGGCCATGGGAAAGTGTGCCCAATGGGTAAATTCGCGTAATTGTTGCTCCGTGCGTGCTAATTGGCTTGCTGAACTTGCCACCTGTTGCCCGGGGCGAATAAAGTTGCAGAAGTTTTTGCCGCAGTTTGAATGCCGCATTTCAGGGGGTTGCCATGCGCTTAATCATTCCAGTTGGGCCTTGGGAGGCAAAAGGTGAATCGCTGGTTGAAAGCAGAGCAAAGAAACAGGGATTTCCTTCACTTTTTGCTATGTTGCACGCAACTTATTGCCTTTCATCTGCCAGTCACATACTGTTGGGCGCCAGCTGTTAACTTTCTCGCAACTTGGCAAAAAACCTTGCCAGCTTTTCAACACGTTTCCCAGTTTCAAGCTTTTAGTGCAGCTTACTTTTAGGCTTGTGGTTTTCAAGAAAGTCGGAAAAATATTGCATGCTCTCGTGGATCAGTTTACGGTGTGCTCAGCTTTAACTGAATTAAGTCTGCAACATTGCAATTGGATAACAGTTTCAAAAAAGAGCTTGGTAATCATACCTAATTTAATATACTCATCAAAGGTAAACCCCTAACAAAGTTAAACACTTTCAAGTTATTAACGGAACAAAAGCAAGAGTTTGGCATAAATGTTCCATGAAAATATGTTTACGAGCAGAATGCAGTGCTCAGCCCGATTTGAGTTCCTTGCTGGCTTTGTTTTCCATTATCCACATTCAGAATGATGTATGGGAAAGGCTTATGGCTCTGAATAAGTGAAATAGCCTAGGCGATAATAGAGGCTTGTATCCCCGTTTGATAGAAGCAGGCTCAAATTGTGGCTTAGTCTGAATTGCAATTGAAATGGCTTCCAGAGAAAGGCCATTAATGGCCAGCTATGATTGATAGTGCCAAAAGGAACTTATTCGGGGAGCTTAGGAACATAATGGGGAGTGACTGTGGTATATTTTTTTCAATGTCTGCACTTGTCCGAAACTCGTATTTCATCTGGCATTGTTTTGCTGTCTCATGTGTGAGTATACTGGCCACAGATGATCAACCATGAATCAAGCTAGCTAAAGACATTTAAAGCATTTTAATTTTATTACCGCAAATTTGCATGTGGTTGGCTTTTCGGCTGATCATTATGATGAGCTAACAACTGGGACAAGAGTCTTGCATTTTTTTCGCACTGCTCGTGGCGAGACAATAAGAATAGTGCACTGAAAAAAATATTCCCCTATAACTAAAAAGAACATTTAAAACAAAAGTTAGATTGTAGGTATGGTATATTTATTGTTTTTACACATTTATATAAAGTGTGTTTATATAAATATACTTCAAAATCCAAAAGAACGATTCATATACATATTAAAAGGGTTTCAAATGACAAGGAAATATTATTTAAAATAATTTATTTAGGCATTCAAAATCGATGTCTTGAAACAATCTATATAAAAAAGTTATAAATCATATAAATATATAACATTTTAAGAGATTTAATGAAGTTGTTATAAAAGATTTTGTTTCCAGTTTCTTTTGCTATAGATAAGAAATTAAATTGACTTGGTATTTTCGAAGATTTTCGGCATGTACTCGATTGGGGCATCTTGTTCCCAACCGGGTTAAGTTGCCGTAAAACTAGTTCAACTAAGAACTCTTCCTACGCCCGGGTATAATGGAAATCATAAATTTGTTTTCGGGAATCGTCGGGCGATACCGGCTTTAATCGGAGTGCTGCAGAAGATGTGTATTAATGGCGAAGCCACTGCGATGAGTCAAAAGACCTTGTTTTTGGAGGGGAGCAAGGCGTGTGAGACACATAGCCGCTCACTAAGCCACCTTTGCTGAGGTTTGGCCTGGCAGCTATTAAACCGAAAGCGATTTTGGTTTTTGGCATTAGTTCTACTTGTGCTTCCCAGGCGTTCGCAGTCCGCAATGAAAGTGAGTGGTGCCTTCTGAAAAAAGGAGATTCGTGAAAGGATTAGAATCGAATTGACATCCTTTTCCTTCGCCTAGGTATTTGTATGTCTTCTGGCGCTGGCCGCCACTTTGGCAACCGCCAATGCAGGACTTCTGGGTCTGCTGAAGGGCGGCGGAGGTGGCGGTGGCTATGGCGGTGGCTATGGCGGCGGATACGGTGGTGGCTACGGAGGAGGTTATGGTGGTGGCGGCAGCGGTGGAGTCCAGGTCGTCAAAGTGATCAACACCTATGAGGGAGGACACGGCGGTGGCTACGGAGGTGGGTACGGAGGAGGCTACGGAGGTGGATACAGCGGTGGCCACGGAGGCGGTGGCTGGAACTCTGGTAGCTACGGAGGTGGTTACGGAGGCGGTTACGGCGGCGGCTACGGAGGTGGTTACGGAGGTGGCCACGGAGGCGGCAGTCGCGTGGATGTCTACAAAGTGATCACAACCACCCACGGAGGTGGCTACGGAGGTGGTTACGGTGGTGGCTACGGAGGTAGCTACGGAGGCAGCTACGGAGGTGGTTATGGTGGCCAGTCAGGATGGTGGAAGACCAAGTAAAAAGGATATTCTGGCCCACCAATGCCCCCTCAAATCCCTCGTGCCCCCCAAATTCCTCATGCCCCAGAACTACCTTCCATTTAGTCGTAATCCGGATAAAAACTCGTTCACGTACCTGAAAAAAATCTTCCATAGCCACGCAACCCGAATCTATTTAATGTCAGTAATTCTCAAATTGGCCAAAACTAGTTTCGGATGATCGGCAAACTGCTTGGCAAACACACAAATAAAATCAAATTAATAATAACAAAATATAAAAAGCGTTTTGTTTACGTTGTAACTTTTTCATTAGCATTTTTGATGGACCTATATTTGTAAGTGAGCCATTAGCCATTCTCTTATTAGCATAATATTTCTGAGGAGGTTCGTCATTGTGGATTTTAGATACGATTATATAATTTAATTGGTCTTTTAGAAGCAAAGTCAAATGCTAAGTTAAACGCTGGTTTTGCTTTTCGTTTTGTTATTCATATTTGAATACAAGCGCAAGCAACTTTTAGCCACAATAAAAGTAATTATACTGCACATGCCGAGAGCTAATCGCAACTTTGAAATATATTACTTTTTTTAAGGCCATAAATTAGTGGAATTGCTTTATTTCTTTTTAATTATTTCTAAAAAATGCATAAACGAAAGATAGGCGGATTAGAGAAGACATGAATTTATTTACGAATCACGTCAACATAACAAATAACCGATTAATTTGAACCGCTTTATAGAATTTTCCACTATTTAACAATAAGACCAAAAATAACATATCATATTTTAAATGTCCCTCACAAGCTCATTATTTTTAATTTTTAGATAAAAGTTTAAATTTGCTTTACTTTCAATAAAGACACTCTACCTTTTTGTTTCCTACTAATTTGACCAATTTTATTTTAGGTTCTTTGACGTTGAAATTTTGCGTTTGTAAGAGGTTGTTAATTTAAATTCTTAGCTTTAGTGATTTGGGTTTGGTATCGATTTAAATAAAATATATTTAAAACAGGTTTGCCTTTCTATTATAAAATGTGAGTCCCAACTTAAATAAGATTATATGGCTAGGTGTTTAGTTTACGATTCCTTTAGAGAATTATAATACCTTCCCATATAAAAAGCAGACAAGAACTACCTTTGTGATTTAATCATTTAATGAGTTAAAAATATAAAAATTATACAAAAAAAAAACGAAAAAATTTCCGCAGTGTTCTGGAAATTTACTGAAGCAAACTTTAACAAACCTGCGTGTAGTAGCTTCCATAGGCAGAAATACGATGACGAGCACATTCCTTAATATTTGTTGATTTGGCTAACAGCTTTAACTTACTTAACGTGCACCCACCAATTTCCATGCACAATTCATTAGCCGACTCAGAGGCAACTAATTGGATGATGATTCACTTTGCGTAATTCATTATTGTTTAATTCTGGAATCTCGGGCGTGTTCTGGTATGATTAAAATCAAGGGGGAGATACTCGTACTTGCACAGCCGACTAACTTTTCTCCTTGTGCTCATGGCTCATGGCCTGGAAACTGTTTACACAGCTGAACTGTGGACCAACTTGCTTCTTGGCTGAAATCTCTTGTGAGCTTGTGTGTTTGGGCCACAGCAATAAACGTGGGTCATGAGGTTGCCGAAAATGGAGCAAACACCCTGGGACACTACAAGTGGAATTAATGGGGGCCGGAGATGGGCCAAGTTTTATTGGGATTGGCCCAGGCAAGCGGAAGTTGTCCCCGGCAAATGGTTACGGGGATATAAGAATACAAGAATACAGGATACAGGAAACGTACATATTTGGCCAAGTATCTTTAACTTGACCTCCCACGAGTGGAAGCCAAAAACATTCCCTTCGATTGGTATCAGTGTTTTATTGTATACATTTTTTTTGCTTTTCTGTTTTTTGAAAACTTTGCTGCTTACATGCGATCTACACTTACGGCTAGTAAATAAATAAATAAGTTAAATAAATTATTACACTTAGTGGCTACGTACAGTAAGACAGGCTAGAGTTAATGTGAGTGCGCCAGTGGGGTGAGGTGAAAAACGGAGCTGCAGAAGCGGAAGTACGAGAGGTAATTGAAAATAGCGAGTGCAGTTAGCCATAGGAGGTGAGGCACAGCGATATGCAGATACAGATACAGATACAGATGCAGGTAAATATACAGATACAGCGATACAGAGTTACAAAGATAGAGAGGCCGGGTTCAGTAACAGTAAACGCCGATGGAAGAACCGAGCAGGGCAGAGCGATACATTAGACAAAACATAATCGATTAAAGCAAATACTAATCATTATAAAAAATCCGCATGCCCAGTGGGAACGCACGTTCTAGATACATTTCGCTCGATGTATCCATAGGTGCCACTGTGCGCCGAGTGAACCGTTGCAAGTGCATCAAGTCATCTTGTCTGCCCCGCAGTGCAAGTGCAAAAAGAGAGTTTATGTATATCTAATTACAATTCGTCCGTCGTTCGTGATTTATCCACAAGATAAATGCAGCTATCCGACACTGGGTGCCCCTTCTACATCTCCATCTCCATCTCCTCCTTCTACTCCGTCCTACGACTTGGCCACCACCTGTGGCGCCGCGGCCTTCGGATGCAGATGTTGCAGCTGCGGATGGCTCTGCGGATGTGCCGCCTGCTCCTGGCTGTGGGCCCGGTATGCCAGCTCCTGGGCCTCGGTCAGGGATCGCCTATCCCACCCACCGCCGCCTCCTCCTCCGCCTCCCGACGACCAGCCACCGCCTCCTCCGCCGCCGCCGCTGGATGACCAGCCGGAGCTGCCGCCCGACGACTTGCCCGACATCAGCTTCTTCAGCCCGATGATGCCCGCCAGGAGCAGGGCGATCTTCGAGATGATCAGCGCCTTGCCCGCCAGTATGTAGAGCGCTCCCATGGCAATCGGGATCATGCCAATCATCTTCATGGCCATGCCCATCATCATCATGCCCATCATCTTCTTCATTTTCCCGCGACCTGCAAGAAAAGTAGTGGGTTAGTTTACAACTTTATTAAAAGACTAGCACGCTATTGTTGGAATTTAAATAAATCTGATGCCATGAATTTGAACCCAAGCACAATATTTATTTATGTTAATTATAAATATTTTATTGACATAAGTAAATATTATTGTAATTTAGTTACATACTTTTAAACGTGTAATTGCATTTAATCATACAACCACCTGAGATTTTAGCAAAACGTTATTTCCGTTCGTTTACTATTTCGTGAATTAGAAATTACTCAGTTTAGCTAAGCAATTTTTACGGATGATGTACAAACAATTTAAAATAGTTTCGTATATAGAAAGCAATCAACATTTTCTGTTTGTAGATAAATTTACCGATACAAAAACCAATTTAGGCTCCTTAGAGTTATTATACGAAGTAAATTATAAAAATTGTGCGGCCGTTGTAAGAGTAATAACCTTAGGATTTTACAGGGAAAACAATTAAATCTCTGCAAAACTTGCAAGCTCTGTAAAGATTTTCATGCCACCCCTGTAAATCATAAAACGACGGTGAAAGTGCCAGCGCAATTATGAAAAGCCTTTGTGAGAATGTTTTCCCAGTGAATGAGGCTCTGGCATTTCGTTTTGGCAGCACCGTGTGTGGCTTTCATTTGCTGCCTTCATTAGGGACACTGCAGGCGATTTCACCTGCCTGGAAATGGTTGGGGAAAATTGCATTTCGACATGGGCACGTCCACGTCCATGGACATGGATACGGACATGGAAATGGAAATGAAAACACAGATGGAAATGGACACTGATGCAGCCCAGAAGAGCGATGATCGCACAGACATAACCAGCTTAAAACAGGCCTCCAAACCGATCGCCACAACCTCTGGCAACGGGTATTAGCCAAAAATGGCTTCGCTATTGGGAAAGTGTTGTTCAAGTTGTGCTCTAGCTCCTCGTATCGATTAAAAATCTTGATCAATGATTTGAAAGTAAAAGAAAAATTTCATGTGGCGTGAAAGTAAGTTCACTTTTCATTGCATTGCATTGCTTTGCGATCTTGTCGTGGATGTTGCAGTGAGTGCTTGTGTCAAATTTGTAATTGACGACAGCTCGCATTCAAAATGGAAATGCCAATGCCACTGGCCCCGTCGAGGAGTTGGTTTTCGTGGCCTCTGCGGAGAAACGCCGTCGCCACTTTCATTGCATTTGACATGGTCATGACATCTAAACATGGCTTAGTTTTTGCTTTTTAGTAAAAAGATTTTAACCGCAATACTCTGCCCTTCGAGGGATTAGAGACTTTGACTTGAAGGTGGAGGGATTTAACTCCAGGTTGATAATCTAGGTACAGTACAAAAATGAAAATGCTTAGCAGATAGATATAAAGGATACCTAATTTAAAATCGGCGTGGATAATATGTGCTGTTATTATTTACAAAATTGAATGTAAGTTTTTATTATTTATTTAATTAAAAAATAATTGCTTACAAGCATTTTAAATTTCTTTAAAGATTTAATTTAAAATTGGAGTATACTTTATTAATTGTCATTATTTTTAGCTGAAGAGGATTTTATGATGATAATGCTAAAATTGACTGTAAGCCTTATGTATTTTGTACTGTTTTAAGAGTGGTTAATCTTCGTGGTAACAAAGTAACCCCGCGTGCCATGTTTTTGGCTTTTTTTGGACAACACGAAATTCTGGCATGACAATTTTATTCGACGTTGTCGCTACCGTCTGGCTGATGTCGTCGTTAAGGTTTCTGGGTCATCCCTGGGTTGCTCAACGAGATTTCTCGTGAGTGCGTTATAAAAGAGGCGAACCAAAAATAAAAACAATTGCGCATTTTCCCAGCGCCAGTACGCCAGTAAGCCCCTCCCCCATTTTCCTGCCCCGACCCCGACCCCGCCAGCTCCCAGCTCACTCACCCTGTTTACATACAATACAATACACGAATGATAAGCCAGGAAATGGGCCAGCCAGCGGTTGCTGACGGTGCAGTTGCGAATGTCATTGCCAGCTAAGCTACACTTTGGAGCACTGCCATGGCTCTCTTGGCTCTAATAACCGCCTGGTAATTACCGGCGATGCAGCCGGAGTCATACTTGCAGTCAAATTATGTCACTGTTACGCGCAATGGATACTGGGGTATTAGCGGTAACCGCAATTAGACCGCCCCCAGAAAGTGATGATTATGCGTTGTTCGGCGGATCGATTTGTTTACCGAAGAAATCTGCGGTTGATGGTAGCGAATTTCGTGGCAGATCCCTGCGCTTAAATATAATTGTTGTTCATTAGGAGTCATAAGACCAGAGGTATCTCTTTAAAAACGAATTTGGTACTAATAAGGGAAATTAAGAAACCTTAATAACTATTTGTAAGAAATTATATTAAGCTTCTGGTAAAAGCTAACTTAATTATTTAAGTAGTTTATATTGATACCTAATCAAATCCATACGCTTTTTATTTTGTACACAATAATCTTGGCCAATCCTTGAATGAATCTTTTAAAGGCTAAAAATATATGTTAAAGGGAAGTTTATTTTATAGCAACCATGCTCAAATATTTGGTTTCTATTGGTTCGATTTATACAAATTTTCTTAATATTATTTCATATTATTCATCAGTATTTTAATGGGAAATCAGTTCTTTTATTTGGCTACTAAAATATTAGAGACATGAAAGATTTCTCATATCTTAAAAGACCCAAACTGTAGATTGAGCAAGATGATCTCAAAACAATGTATAAATTGATTTTCGATTACTTACCTTCCTCCAATCCGCGTCCAATCTCTTCGGATGTGAGCTTGGGGAAGCTGACCTGCAGCGAGTGTCCGTTGAAGAAGTAGCTGAGCCGCTCGATCAGCATGTTGGTGAGCTTGGCGTCGCGGTCGTTTCCGGAGCGGGGGAGCGAAGACTCCAGCTCGTTCTCACTGGTGGCCGGGGGCGGGGAGCCGCCTCCAGGCGCACCAGCTTGATGCCGTCGGCCACGTTGATGGCGTCGATGGGGGCCAGGCGGTCGATGAAGGAGATGGCCTTCTTCTTCAGACATGGCACGAATCCCGCCTCGGCGCGGGTGCACTCGTCGTAGACCCGCAGGAGCGTCCTGGCCCCGGCACTCTGCGATGGGCTGGGCGGACCGCCCAGCTGCTCGGTGGCCGCCCCGCATCCGCCGGCGAGGAACAACACCGCGAGCAGGCTGAGAAGGGCCTGCCAAGGCCACTGCTTAAATGTCATTCTGCGCACTGCTTTTTCACACTCGACAAAAGGAACAACGACGACACACTCGCGACACTCCGCCCGATTTTCTTTTCGACAGGTGCTCCTCAGGAGGCTAGTCCTTCGCCAAAGATCTCTGTCTGGAGTCACTGGGGGCAGCTCGCACTGGCTGCTGGCTCGAATCGAACTGATGCCCAGCCTTGGCGCGCTTTGTTCTTTTATAGACCTTTCTTTTTGCAGTCGCCCGCTCGCTCGGCGGCCTCTTGATCGCAATTTGATTTTCCTCGGCTTCGTCGGCGTCTTCGGGCCATCAGCTCGTGCTGGCTCTTTTCCTCGCTCGGCTTTCCACCGCGGTGGGAATGAATGATCGCCAGTGCTGGTGGCGGAGTTTCCCAAAGGCAAAAATAAGTAAGGCCTGAAAAATTGAAGCCAGTTTTCAGTGACTCTTAAAATGTATATTCATATTAATCAATTTGCAAGTTGATAAAAAAAGAAAGCCACTTTATAAATCAAAAGACATATTTTCTAACGAATTCATTACAATTTTTCAAAAAATAAATTATAAATTATGATAGCAAGAATAATGTGTTTAACTCTTGCTTAAAAATTAATTATGAGTTTACATTTATTTACGTTGCACAACGACAAATAACATTTTTAAATAAGGGTACCAAAAATAAATAAGGGTAACAATAAATTACAGTATAAAAAATATTTAAAGTTTAAATATATAATGCTTTAATATTATATTAATGTTCGCTGGCTTTTGAAACTTTTTGAACTGGAATATACACTTCGGAATAAAGCAGATCTAAAAATTTTGTTTGTGTAAACTAATTCGAATTTTTTGACAGTATTCTTTAGACGTTTTCAAAAATGGCTGAATGGATTTGGCTAGTATCTAGCCAAGCTGGCATCGCTCATACCTTTGTAGTAGTACTCCTCAATGAACCAAAGCGCCCAGCAGCGAGGCGAAGGCGAGGCCAAGATATTTCCAACGGGTTTCTACTAGTTTTTCCAGCCGTAGCTTTCGTTGTTTATGGCCAAACATATTAGTTGCATTAGTGGTTTTTGGTAGGAGCTCGCTTTTTTGGCATCTAACCATTTCTGCAACTGGCTGCCGTTGCCGTTGACACTTTAATTTCAATTTGGCTTTTAGCAATTTTCGCCATTCATTCGAGTACGAGTAGCGCCCATAAAGAAAGTCATTGCCAGCCACTAAACAGTGGCCGATGGCCATTTTTTTTCTTGTGTTATGCAAATGCCGGCGGGGGTGTAAATGAGATGCAATGCAGCATCCTATGACGAACGGCAACTAACGTTTTCAGGCCCTGCAAAGTGGCAAATTGCAGACAGTGCAGCCATTTGTATCTCTATCTGATAGAACGTGCTTCCACATATGCCACTTGCAAAGGGAAAGGAAAGCTGTGCTTCATAATTGCGGCTTTTTTGCGGCATTTCTGCTGCTATAAAAACAAAACGTTTCAGCCGAAAACAACATTGGGAAACTGCATTTTCCGGATTCTTGTTTTTTTTGTGAGCTTTCGCTGGGCGATCGGTTTATGTGGCAGGTGGGCATAAAAAGGAATATGAGCCGGACCCACAGGGTCAAATAGCGATTTTCGACTAATAAACTCGCAAATTAATGCCCCGCCGGCCACTAAGATTACCGACTAATAGCCAAGACGGCTACTTACTGCCAGCTTTGCCCATTGGGCCAGCATCACACCTTAAGTGCCGGCACTTTAGCGAAGTATCTTTTACACAGCTACCCGCTTTTTTCTGGGCCACTCACTTAGATTTAGATTTCGTCGGCCGCCGCCTCTTTTTTACGCCACTTTCACTGGCCGTCCATGGAAAAGGTACTTTGTACTTTTCCAGGGGCAGTTCATCGATCTGCATAAAGCACTTTCGAGTGCGCATAAGTATTTATTTGCACACAGCTTTGTTTCCGTTTAGGTATCGCTTGATGGACAATGAAGAACTAAATCGTTTTGGGTTCACTGACCGCTGGGGAGCCGTCAAAAATGTCCTAAGCCAAGTGGAAATTTATGGGATTTCCCCGAGAAGCAGTGAACCTGAAAAGCGGTCACCGTCGGAGTCCTGAAAAAAATATTTTATGTTTTTTAATGGGGTCCTTTAATTGTGTTCATAAAAATGTAGAAAAGTTTTGTTACGGTTTGTGAACGCAAACAATAAGGTAAACGATTTCATTTAAAGTTTTTACACACCATTTTCATTTAAACTTCATTATGTTTGAATTTTTGTGGAAAAATACATTTAATTCTAAGATTTAAAAATGACCAAGCAATAAAACAGGCAGATAGAAGCTTTGCGGAATGTCTCTCGAAACATGAATAAATTGAAAATTCTTCGACAAGTTTAAATGAAATGCTTGAAAGCCCCCGGATCTTTTGAATACTTTTTTATCAAACCCTTTTTCTCGCCTTTTCAAATGTCACTCCATGAGCAATTCGACTAATGTGCATCATTGTTTGTATTCCATGCTAAGTCGAGCTGTCAAAATGTCCATCATGCTTGGGGCATTATTCGTACTCCCAAGTTTCCCAACAGACGATTTTCCATTTTATTATGCGGGTGCTGCAGCTGCAACCGAAAACATCCGCATCCGCGGCCCACAACAAACAGCAACATATGCGACTACAATATGCCACGGCAGACATCTATGTATCCATATCAGACATGTATCCCATATCTCCAGAGCTGCGCATGCGCATGTGAAACAATTCCGATTGTCTTTTTTCATCTGCGTGCCAATGGTTTCCGTGGGCAAGGCCAACCGCTGTGCACTCAGAAAAATTCAAAGTCTTAATTATTTTGTTAGGTTATTAAAAAGGTTTTAATGCTTGTTTCATTTTTAAAGATAACTGAAAATGTTTTAAGTCCTTTGCAGAAATCCTTTTACCATATAAGTTACACTTATTAAATTGATTTAAATTAAAATATTTTTAATATATAATATATTACTTGTTTAAATATTTTTTCAAAAATTGTAATAATATATTTTTGGGATGGGTTTGTTTTTATGCTGTACATAATCATAAATAAATATCGAAATTACGGATGTTAACAGGTAATATTTTTAAAAGTCTTAACATTTCCTTTTAGATAATGTATTTTTTTCTGAGTGGAGCCACAGTAATTGCAGCAGCAACATCGCTGACTGCAAAAACATTGTCTGCTTCCTTTGGCTGGCGGCGACTTTTTGAGTTGGCATTGCCGCCACGCCCTGCACTTTTCTCCGTCAGCCAAAAGATTTTTCACAGTCTTTTCTGTGCCACTTTGCGGTCGAGTCTAAACAAAATAAAAGCAGCGACAGCCACAGCAGTAAAAATTAAGAGAAGAATTGCATTTTAATAAACAACAACCACAACATCGTGGCAGCAACAGCTGCATTCAGTTTATGGAAGTCGTTGCGGCTGAAGTGTGTGAAATTTGGCAGAGAAAGTATATAAAACCAACAACCTACCACAACGATAAAAGCAGCAAAAGTGTGTTCTAAATTCTTAGAGTGCGAAAACCTCGTTCGGGTTAAAGTTGGGGGCCACTTAACTCTCGGTTTTATTTGTTTTTTTTTTTTGGCTTAGAACCCGATTTGCACTTGGCCGCAACGGACTTTCTATTTCATGCCGTGGGGGTTGTTCGCCTTCCCAGCTTTTGTGCAATAAAAATTGCAATTTTCACAACAAAAGAAAGCGAAAAGAAAATGCTTGTTGTGCTTGTGTGTGCGTGAGGTTTTTTATATTTGCTTGTTAGTGGCAATGTTTTTGTTGGTTTTTATCGCATGTTTTGACGCCGCATTGACGTTAATCAAAGTTAACCGCCAAACGTTCGCACAAATCTCACGCTAATTAACTTTTATATGGGATCAGAGTCGACGGGTGCGATAAGCCGCCGGGCTTTCAACAGCATCAACAGCATCAGCACTCCGAGCGTTTAAGTCGTCCAGCTGTTTGGACATCCGCTCCAGCATGACGGTCACGAGCCAATATTTTCGCTGTTGAATTTCATTTAATTTGCGAACATTGTGTTATATCTGCTCGGGGAGCTTACAAGGAAAAATCGTCGGCATTTTTCACAGCCATCCACCACTTGTCGAGTGTCGCGTGGCGGACAGCTAATGTGAGACGAGCTCATTTATCCCACTTTCAGGAGTGTGTTTTCCTAATGTCGTGAGTTGGGAAGAAAGCATTTCGGACAAGTGAACGTAGTTAATGAAATGAAGGTCTTAATTGTTATAAATTTATTACAAACACTCTCAGTGGTGACAAACTTCCAACAGATTTGATTGGGATATTCCAGTTTATTTTTATACCCTTGCAGAGCAAAGGGTATTATAATTTTGGCCAGAATGTTGCAACGCAGTGAAGGAGACACCTCAGACGCCATAAAGTATATATATTCTTGATCAGCATCACGATCTGAGTCGAATTACGTCTGTACGTCTGTCCGTCTGTCCGTCTGTCCGTCTGTCCGTCTGTCTGTCTGTCCGTCTGTCCTCCTGTCCGTTTCTGCCTAAACTAGTCTCTCAGTTTTTAAGCTATCTTGCTGAAACTTTCCCAAAGGATGTGTAGTTATTGCACGCAGTATATAAGTCGGACCGAGCCGGATCGGCCGACGATATCGGATAGCTCCCATACAAGAGGTCAAAAAAAATAAAGGATAAAAAATTATTACGCCGTTGTTTTTGATCAGATCGACTTGAATTCTTCAAGATGGCGTTTTCTAACGGTTATTAAATTTCGGATTAAATTTTATCAAAATCGAATAACCCTATCATATAGCTGCCATAGGAAAGATCAAAAAATATATATAGAAATAATGGCAAAATAATCATAACGTTGTTGTTTTTTATTCCACGAGCATGATTTTTACAAAATCGACTTTATGAACTACCCTTGAACCGAGAAAAAAATTTCATCAAAATCGGACGACTATATCATATAGCTGCCATATGAACAATAGTCGAAAATATGGAAAATTAATAGAAAAGTCGTCATAGCTTCGATGTTGTTAGCCTTTATGTATTTTGTTCGATATGTTTGATGACTGCAAGGGTATATAAGCTTCGGCTTGCCGAAGCTAGCTTCCTTTCTTGTTTTTTAGTGAGAATCTTTGTTATTAAAATTATCTAAATTATTTGAAAATCTAT